TATGGAGACGGGGAGGTGCGACCTCTCCCGCGTGCTGCCGGCGGCGAGCAGCAGTAGCAGCAGTCACAACAGCGCATGGAGACGTCGACTTGATGGGGAGCTCGGGAGAGCATGAGAGGATCTAGATCCAGATCTTGCAACACATCCCTTGTTGCAGTGGGGGAATTGCAATGACGGTTCGGTTGCGAAAACCAGTCTATGTAATACGTTGCTCTAACCATCTAATTAAAATCCGATCTGACGCGATCGTGGTCATCGGTCGGGTGATTTAAATCATTTCCCAAAAAGTAAACGTACATGAAGGAAAACCAAATAGAACTAATAAATATAAAATGAAACTCTGCTTAGGTACACACCCAATAGAAAAGTTCACAACTTTCGATGCAACTTCTCCGCAAAAAAAGGATGCAGATTAAAGGTGGATATCAGACGGTACCTCTTCAATAAAAATGATGATTATAGTCTTATGTATCCAAATCAATCTATTCAATTCAAGTTGATCTTCAAGCTAATATGGCAATAGCCTTTTTAAGGAACTTTAAAATTTGTACAAACAAATTATGATGGGGGGTCTACCCAAGCAAAACTCATCAGATGTATGCAAATTTAGAAAATTGTCATAGATTTATACATACATACATATATTCTTGATCATTGTAAATAATGATGAATTTGCGGATATATATATATATATATATATATATATATATATATATATATAATGATCTTCAATTTTGTAAAATCTTCATTATTTACAAAAAATGTTCGCAAATTCCAAAAGTCTTCCGAATTTGAAAAATATTTGTGAAATTACAAAATATGCAAGAAATTGAAAAATGTTTTTTTCAAAATTAAATGAACTTGAAAAGGTGGTAACTAATTTTAAAAATTGTGAATTTAATTTTTTTTCATCAGTTTTTTAAAAAGTTCACAAATTTTAAAGGTGTAAGGGAATTTGATAATCTTCCTGAATTTTAGAAAATATTTCTGAATTTGAAAAATATTTGGAAACTTGAAGTATTAATAGAGCAGATTTAAATTCTTCATAAATTTACAAAGACAATTAAGAATTCCAGTATTGACCCCAAAATAAAAAATATTATTCACAATGTAGGAAAATGTAAATTTTAAAAAGTCTGCTAATTTAAATGATTGTGTATTGATATCATAATATTTCCAAATTTCATAAAACTATTTGCTAATCTGAATATTATTCATTGATTAAAAAGGAAACTGGAAAAAATAGATAAAAACTCCTGAAACCAAGATAGAAATCACAAAAAAGAAGAAAATTAATGCGAAAAGAAAGAAAAGCGTCGCACCGGCGAGACATCCCATCCAGTGCTATCGGTGTCGGTTAGTGGTGCTTTCGCTCGACGCGGCCTGTAGAGGGCCGGCGCAGCAGATGCAACGCTGCTGCTTGAACATCGCTCGCTCGCATCACGTAGGTTGGCTGATTGACTGTTGACAATTGACATCTTAAAAAGTCCATAAAAGTAAAAAAATGTTGTAAATAGGAATAGAGTTCACAAAAAAATGATGATAAAACACAATATTAGAAAAGTTCATGAAATTTGGAAATTGTTCACGAAGTTTAAATAATCACGAATTTGAAAAATAAATCAGGAGCTAATAGTTAGTACATCTTAAGAAGTTCCAAAATTGGGGAAAAAATCTTGGATTTAAAAAAACACAGGCTAAAAAATTCATGAATTTTAAATGAATCACATATTTGAAAAAAGTTCGTGCATTTGAAAAAAGTTCAGAATTTTTAGTACTGTTTACAAAAAATGTAACAAAAATAAAAAAATAAGAAAGGAAAAGAAAAAACAAAAGGAAAACCGGAATAGGAAACCGAGAAACCCCAATTGGAAAACATAGGAAAAAACATATAAGTATATAAAGGACGACCCGCTACTTTACATAGCGTACCTGGGGGATGTGCACCCCGTACGAAGACACCCTTAACTGGTGCTTTATGCGCTGAATAGGGATTTGCGCACTAGGCTGGCGCATAGAGGGTTGTTGGTCGCTATTGGTGGACTTCTCATGCCTTACACGGGGAGTATGATCCACATATATAACACCATTTTGCTTCAAATTGTTGACATGCCACACATGCGGTTACCGGATCATTATCGCCAACTGCTGAGCGATCGTTACCTTGTGTTTTTCCTAGTTTTGAATTGTTTGTTTCTGTTGTTTTTCAGAAACGGCAATAGTTATTTTTTTTAAAAATAAACACTTTAGAATTTTTGAATATATTTTTAAAACCAAGTATATTTTTTAAATGCAAACATGTTTCAAAATGTATGCGAACATTTTTTGAAAGAAAAAACTCAAATTTTACATAAAATTTGTGGACGTTTACTCTGAAAGTATCGAATTTTGTTTGAAATATTTCAACAATTTTTAAAAGGCAGACATTTTCGAAAATGTAAACAATTTGTAACACCAATATTTGGAAAATTCCGTTTTTATTGCATTTATTTGTAATTATGGTTAATATGGATTTTTTTATATTCGGAAAATTCTAAATATTAACTTTCAAGTAAATTCTTAAAAATTTCAAACATTTAAAAAGGGGGGAACAAGTCGATAGAAAAATAAAAAGGGGGAAATGAAAGAAATCTGGTAAAGAAAACAACTAAAAAAGGAAAAAATAAACAGGACCAAAACCTTCTAAAAGGTTCACAAAACTAGATTCCTATAGTACGTCTAATTGGGTCAGGATTGTTATTAATATATGAAGTAAGGACTATTCAATAATTTCTTATAAACATAGGTTTTTATTGGAATTCACTCCCACTCGTGCATTGCTCTATGTGATTAAACAACACCTTCTCATAGAGAGCAACGAATAGGATTAGCCATGGGTACCTTCTCATCATATGACACCGATATATATTTGACACCCCCACCCCCCTCCACACAAGCGCGCACACAAAACACAAGGAAAAGGGGGCTAGAGAAGCAGTCAGACCATGACCACACCGAGGAAGTGAACGAAACACCCACTACACCAAGAATTGAGAAAGTGAACATTGTCCCAAAAATAGCTGGTAATGAGTTTGTTGTCTTTTCTTGAAATTAACATGAAAATAATTTCATCTCAAAAAATTAAAAATAAATTAAATAATAACACTACAAATGACCCTGCAGCTATAGAAACTTGAAGAGCCACATGAAAGATGTAATGATAATCCTCATTGTGCGCCACCTACAAGAATGCGTGTGTGTGGGTGGGAGGGGGGGGGGACAAACAAGTGGTGAGTGCTTGCATGAGACGATAGATGGGTGCCAAGAGCCATTGAGGGCCGCCAGATCTGGAGTTTGATGGCGTGTCAGGGGTGCTGCTTGGCCAAATTCTTTCGAGGGTAATGGCTTCACCTTTGGCAAGCTATCTGTAATTTTGACAACCGGCATATCAACGATGGAGCCATGTTAAGTTAGGGTGAAGAGGAGATCCGTGACGGGCATTGGATTCAAGCCCCAAGGGTGTTGTCGGTCTTGATTTTATTTTTCTTCCTTTGGCAGGTGGTCTTTGTGCAAAGGCTAACTTTATGATGTTTATTTTTAATTTTGTCAGGTCGGTGTCTATGTGGCTTATGCTTTGATATTTTTATATGAATTAGACACGTATTACCATAAATAAAAAATATGAAAATAACCACTATTTTTTGAAGTAGCATTTTTTTGAGAAAATTGTTTTGAAGTAGTAGAGAGTAGAGAAATGCCACAAGCTCTTTTTTAGAAATAAATACTACAAGGTGGACCTCGAGGACCGAAGAATGGCTGCAATCGCAAGGTGGACCTCAGTTATGCGCCGCCGCCTGCCGTGCGCCCATCTCCACTCTCTCGGCGTCGCCGTAGGAGGCCTCGAATGAGGATCGAGCGGTCCTTGAGCATAGGCCCCCAAATAAGCAGCTCCCCCTTTGGGAGCCGCAGTCCTCAATCGAAGCAGCAGCAGTTCCATCTTGAGCTGCTCCTCAATCCGAGTTACAACCGGCAACCGAAGCAATCCTCTCTGAGCCGCAGTCGGAAATCGAAGCGCATCCCCTTTTTAGTGGCAATACGGAATCAAAGCAGTTCTTCCCGGGATACAATCAGAAGCAGGTCCTCTTCGAATTCGTTCTCCCCTTATCGATATTTTTTTTCCATTGTATAGATAGATTTTAAACAAATTATAATCGAGAGTTTCCATAGGTGGCGAGAATCTAGCAGCTATATAGATATCTGGCCTGGCGGCAACCGCGGTACCCGCCAGTTTTAAGAGAATACAACCAGCTCCGTCCGGCAACCGACTGCCAGATCGATCGCCGAACCATCCGTGAAGGGCCTCGGCAAATCCTCCCCCGACGTGGTGGTGAGTTCGTCCTCTAGATCCTCTTACAAAGTCACCGCAAAAAAAAGGAATAATAAAAGGTAGGAACCATAATCAGAATTTGTGGTCTCAATTTAACTCTTTGGTGGGGAAATATTAAAATTACGTCAGTCTCTTGGGAAGTATTAAATTTGTATAACCAAATTTACGGTTTTTATTCTGTGGAAAGTATAAAAACTGTATAATCAAAATTATAACCTTTTGTAGAAAGTATAAAAAATGTACAATCAAAATTGCGTCTTTCTGTGGGGAAGTATGAAAATTGTACCTTTGTTTGTGAAAAATATTAAAATTGCAACACCTATGATGAGACTAAGCAACAAATCAACTCTGATTCGTTTCCATATCAAATGTAGGAGGGCAATGAAGTTGATAGGCTCAGCAAGTTGCCCGATGACGTTTTGCTCAACATTGTGGAGCGACTTGATATTGCTGATGCAGCACGAACCACCATCCTCTCCAGACGTTGGAAGCAGATCCCTGCTATACTCTCAAAGCTTATCATAATGGTTGGTTCTTTTCAGCCCAATCATGAAAGTAGGAAGTTAACCTGGAAGCAACCAGGAGCATACTGGAAAGGAGGGCTGGAAGTCCATACACCATTCACCTGTTGCGCATGCAATTCTACTTGGGAGATGAGTCCATTTTCATTGGCCAGACTGTTGCCAACACCATAGCAACACAAAAGGTTGCTTCAGTTGAGTTTACAATCATGACGAAGGTGCGCAAAAAGATTACCAATAATGGGCTGCTCACTTATGGGAGGCAGTTCATGTCATTTTTTGATTCGTGCCCAAACACATTTGGTGGTCTTGCATGCCTCATGCTAGAGAATTTGAGGTTAGGCGAATCATACTTCCCCAAAATTTTCAGTGTATGCAAGCAACTGGAGTTACTCCGCCTCTACCACTGTGATATGGGCATCGACTCTTTGTTGGAAGTGGAACACCCACAACTCAGTGAACTAGTGATTGCCTGTAGCAGGCTTATTAAGAGGGTTGATCTGAAGTGGTTACCAAAACTCACAGTACTGAAATTTAATGTATTTAGATCTCAAGATGACCCCTTCTGTCTTGGCTATGTCCCACTGCTCCAGACTGTGACCATCATTAATACTGGTTTTGCTTGGCACAAGATGCTCAAGTTTAGTGAGTTGCTGGGTAAAACCGGCATAAGCAACCTGCATTTGGACTTCAGAAGCGAAAAGGTTAGTGAAGGTCTTCTATGTTGTCAGTGATGTGCGTAAGTTTTGCTGTCCATTTCGTGGGTGGAGGTTATTGTTACTATTTTTGGTTAACATAATTCTGCATTATCCCCTTCTTTTGCAGATTTGGGTCAAACCGGAAGGTCAAAGACAATTGTTACCGGTGTTCCACAAACTAACGCTTGTGAATTTGCTTAACATTTCTGAAGAATGTGATTTGACTTGGATAATGTTCATACTCCAAGGTGCACCCACCCTTAAGGAACTACGCATCTTGGTGAACTCTTGTACCGATTATTCGGTTCTCATTTTTATTGTCTCGTTTTGAAGTTCAAACTTGCTTAGGAATTTTCTTCCTGACCAAATGCAGGTGCGGGATCATTTATGTGAAATGATTTCGGGGGAGCAGAGGAAAAAATTTGTGTTTAGCGAGGAGAAGGACAATGGACTAGAGTGGGAACCTGCACCTGATTTCAAGCACCACAACCTTGCCGAGCTCAGAATGTATGGGAGGTTTCGAGCACAAGACAACATCGTGCGCTTTGTCAGGAATGTCATGGAAGCAACGGTGAATCTGGAGGACATAAAACTTTTTAAGAGTCCAGTGTGTGAGAACTGCAAGCACATGCTTCAGGAGTGGACATTGATGGAGAAGTCGTCGCTTAGCCACAAACTCAACATGGGGATGCTGTCTTCGAACGTCCAGATTCAGTTCCCGAGTTTAGGGAAATTTCGTACATGGTCAAAATACTGCTCTTAAGCTGCAAGCTGCAAGCTGCAGCAGTTGATAGGAACTGTTGTATCATTGTATGCATCGATTAATTGTCACTAGCGAACCTTTTCAATTATGTGTATTTCGAAATCGTACTGAGTTGAGGAGGATTAGGTGTACTCTTGACATTAGTGTGAAGTGTTTTGGCAAATGGAAGTTTCGGATAAATGCTTGGTGTTGCCGAAGCTTCAACATTATGATGAACCTATGCAAAAGGGCATGCTGATTCCATTACAAGGTAATCAAGATGGATAGATCCAATTGTTTTGGATGCAGTAGAAGGCTCTGAATGCTCATGAGCCCAAACGTGAGCATATATGGCTTCAAACATATTTAAAGAGGTTCACAAGATTGCATTTTACTGTGCAACACATCCCTGGGCTATGGATAAGGATAACTGTGTAGCACGACTGCCAGTATCCATCATTCATTGGAGAAAATCTAATCCTTACAGTAGTAATGTCAATTGGTAGTAGCAACTCCACAGTTTTCTCAGCTTGATCAATATTTATCTGGAAAAAATGACAATAATAAATCAGATAAAGAAGCAGAAAGCTAGGAAAAATAGCCATTCTGTGAACTTCCGGTGCTGAACGGGCGACCGAAGAGCCGAGTAAACTTCCTCTTATGAATGAACTGCATCATGAAAGCACCCTTTAAGAAAAAAGTGAAATGAATTGCAGTACACAGGGAGTCCATGGAATCGCTTTTCATGTATCATAAGGTGAAGAGAAGCTTTATGCACACTTCTCACGACATAATGAATATACTTTGTTTTCTTCCTTTTAATTTTTCCTTGCTTATGTTCTGTCACATACATGGACTGACAATGACAATACACGTGCAAGCAAATAATGAACATAATTTGTTTCTTCCGTCTTGTTTTACCTTAGTCGAGTATTGTATTGAACCATGCCATGGAGCGGACACATATTTAAGAAATTAGCAAAACCCAGGCTTATAATCATGCCCACTCACACTGACACCGGGACCCCACCCCAACAACTCCAGACCTCGTCAACGTGGCAGAGACGTCTTTCCCTTTCCCGTTTCCTTCACTACTGTCGAAACCTTTGCCCCAGCTTCAGCTTCAGGTTTAACAGCATTGCGCGTTTCTCAGTTTCGTCAGAGTGTATCTGTCAAGCTCGATCTAAGGCCTGACGAAGAATTTCAGGAATTTAGTGTAAAATTAGCAAATTTGTGGAGACAAATCACACAGATCTTCTCAAATTAAGGAGTTAGGTTTAGGCCAGCCGGAACATGGCGGCTAGGGTTACAACCCAATACATAAATCTCGGGGCTCGGCCTTATAGCCTTACAAGCAGGTAAAAAGAGAGAAAGGTGCCTGACACTGGCAAAATTAAAAGGAAAATTCAAACTACTACAGGTGAATGAGCGGTAGCCGTTAGATTTAAGATCTACGGTTGCTGTAGGAGATCGAGGGAGCGAAGCCTTAAGTTCCCAACCGACCGTCAGATTGAAGATGGACGTCGCTCCTTGCATCCGGCACTACTGAACAGGACGCTTCGACAGTTTCAGAGAAACAAAGCCGATTCAGACTAACTGGCCTGACTGTATCTTCAGAAACGCTCCCTCAGAGCTGCCTCTTTTCTTCTCCTCCTTACCACGATCTGGCTTGCTGGTGGTCCCATCCAGCAGTGTGACATTGTCGCCCGCTTGAGCTCCAGCTTGCCCTCAAGCAGGAGCATCCGAAAAGCGTTGCTGCAACGTGGAGTGGTCCTCCCAAGTGGCCATTGTTGCAGGTAACGGGGTCCATCTCACCAGCACCTGAAGGAGAGGCACATTATCCCTTTTGTCCAGCCGACGCTCCGGAATCAGTTCCGGTTCCACCGGCAGGCAATCCAGGGTGAGGCCTGGAGGTAAATCTGCAAAGACAGGTCTATGATCTGCCAAGTTCAGTTTTGTAAGCCAATTGACCAACCTTGGAGAGGATCTTGTATGGCCCAAAATACTTAAAGGCCAGCTTGGGGAAGGCCTGCTCTATGCTCAGATCCTCTCCAACCTTGTAGCAGCAGTGTATGGATGTTTCAGAGGAAAGAACTGTGCACATTTTGTATATCTGCTCACCAGGACAAAAAGGACTGAATGGCCATTGGATTTAGCAAACCTTCTATAAAATCCAGAGAGGTCTTGTCAGGGACCCGTGGTACTGGCAGTGGCTGGACAAGGCCAGGTGTCCAGCAGTGTTCATGTTTAGCCTGCACTGTTGTACAAATTCAGTGGCATCCCTTTTGAACCCAGACCAAGCAAATAGTTTGTGAATTTGTTGAAATATTGTTTGAATGCCTGGGTGGCCTCGTAGGGCAAATGCATGAAAAGCTCGGATCAGTTTGGTCTGCAAAGCTGCATTAGCACCAACCCATATCTTGCCCTCTTTCCGAATAATACCATCCACTACATAAAATCCATCGTCATCAGTACTGTGCAAAGCTAACTGCTGAAGCGCCTTCTGCCCAGAGCTGTCAGTTGCATAGGAATTCAGTACCTCGTGTAACCACAGAAGTGGCCTGTGTAAATCCAACTGTTGGGCCACACGAGAGAGTCCATCAGTTGCTTTGTTGTCCGCTCCTTTTTTGTATTGGACCTGATACCACAGTCCTATAAGCTTAGTCATAGCCTTCTTGTAAGTCCGAAATGAGAGATCGATCAGTCAGACGGCATAAACTCTTATGATAATTCTGATGACAAATAGTCCTCTGACCAAATAGGATCTCCATTTATCAATGGCCATACTGATGACAAGGAATTCTTTCTCGCAGATAGATAGTTTTTGATTTTGCATCCCTAAGGCCTTGCTATAATAAGCAATTGGGGGACCCTCTTGAGAGACAACTGCACTCACTCCTATAGTCCTACAGCGCAGATATGTTTCAATGACACTTTTTGGTGAAGTCTGGTAGGGCAAGCACAGGTGTAGATGCCATTGCCTTTTTGAGCAGACCAAAATCTTATTGTGTAGCAGCCGTCCAGATGAAAGGCTTGTTCTTTTGTAACAGCAAGGTGAGAGGTTTGGCCCAGAGGCCATATCCCTGGATAAACTTCCTGTAATAGCCTGTTAATCCCAAATCCCTTTTAGTTGAGTCACATTTGCAGGGGGGGGCGTGAGCATTGCTGCAGTTCTTTGTGGATCAGTGATTACACCCTGGTGAGAAATGATGTGCCCAAGGTATTTCAATTGATTGGGTTAGATGTAACGGATCTAGTGAAGAGGAGCAGGGATCATAAAAGAGACAAGACCTGGGGGAGTAGAAGAAAGAAACTAATTTCTTCATTGATAATTTTGATTGGTTACAACCCCCAGGCGTAACCATGCCCACTCACACTGACCCTGACACCGGTACCCCACCCCCAACAACTCCAGACCTCGTCAACCAGGCAGAGACGCCTTTCCCATTCTCGTTTTCTTCTCAGCGGTCGAAGCCAGCTTCAGGCTTGGCAGTGCTGCACGTTTCTTCAGTTTCGTCAGGTGTACCTTTAGAAACGCTACTTCAGAGATGCCTCCTTTCTCCTCCTTACCACGATCTGGCACGCCGGTGCACTACTGAGCTGGTGGTCCTATCCAGCAGTGTGGCATAAGGCTTCACTTCCGTGCCCCAAATTGCTGCCCGCGGAGGTCTTCAACAGTTTTATCACTGTAGGAAAAACTCTGAAGTTCTGTCTCATTATCTGATTACATTCAGTTTACGGTCTGAAGTTCTGTACAGCATGGATGCCAAGAGGATTTCTGTAGCCGTTTTTTTACCTTTTGACTTCAGCACTTTATATTTTTTTGTTGAAATATATTTAACAGAGTTAATAATTGCAGAAAATCGGCAACACTGGACTCGGTTATGATTAAGAGGCATCTCTGTGTGATTCTCCCTGCAGGTATTATTTATCGGTAGCTCAATTTTTTTCCCTACCATATTTGTATGTATCTCATGCTATCACTGATGCTTTTAGCCTTGTACATTTTGTTACAGAGTGGGCGCGGGGCTTCTTCTTATTTATTGTCTGAAGCACATATGGTGGCTTCTTGCCACAGAAGGGTCACATGAAGAAACACACAATGCAGTAGTGGATTTAATAGTTCAAGACCATATGAACTGTGCTTGGAAAGCAAGGCGCGAAACCAGCAGTTCTTTACGAATCGCAAAAGACCTTCATCTGTTGTTGGACTTCCTAGAATACACATCCGCACAGCCACCAGACAACGAGTTGTAAAGCCCATTACCTGCTCGTGTTGGTGTTGGTGGAACTCCCCAAGTCACATGTAAAACAGATGTTTCAAGTCGAGACACAAACTCTGTATATTCTCCAATTTTTTCTTTTTGGTGTGCAACTGAATATAGTATGACAACGTGAGTAGCTGAAGTTTGTCTCTTTTGTAGGTTGAGCTGCCATGCATAATTCTAAACTTGCAAGCATCATAGATTCATAGTGTATTGGTTCACCAGTGCATGCTGCAGATGATTTATTTTTTTGACGCTTTACTGAAATGTTATATGCTTTTGGCAGTTGAGGATGCCAGCCAGGGTTGTCATGCAAACGGGATGCCACTGTGAAATCCGGACCCGAAATGAGGAGAAAGGAGGCAGGAAAGTTAAATAAATTGATAGGGGCCCTGGCCTGAAATAAAATAAAAGTCGACCCGGCCACCTGCTCCTTGGGCCAAACTGTCAGGACCCAAACTGCATCTATCTGAAGAATTCAACACTCTGTCGAAAGATTCAGTTAAGTTTGAACCAGCAAGTAAGCGCGCCAAGTCTCCAGTTATGATGGAGTAATCATCGTTGATCTCGGGACGTCGCTGTTCTTCTTCCGGCAAAAGGCTCACCCACTTTGTTTTCCTTTTATCATCAGACTTATGTCAACATCTAGTTCTCCATTTTCCAAAATAAATAAACAATCAAGATTTTCGTAAAAGCTCTAGTACACCTAAGCTCCACCACAATACCCTCAAAAGGGAGAAAGCACCGTCACGAGTTGAGTCCACAATGGACAAATCTTCTCTATACGTTTTTTAAATCCTGGGAGGTAGAGATTTGTGATAAAAGCTTGTATTCAACTTGTGCATATACCAATTTCACTACTGTAGAGGCTCAACTTGGTCAAGTTTTTTATAACACATTAAGCTTATATATGTGTATTTTTGCAACTCATTATTAAGCTTATATGTCAGCTCAACCAATACAAGCTCTCACTTGTCTTTTCGTGGATCCTGTTTCAGTTTCGATACCATAACTCTTTAAGCTTATACTATGAAGCAGCTAACCCAACAAGGAATGAAGAATGAAAACAAATATACTTGACACTACTGTTAAGGCTACTCTTATTATTGTACTCCCTCCGTCCGGAAATACTTGTCGGAAAAATGCATAAAAATGAATGTATCTAGAACTAAAATACATCTAGATACATCCATTCCTCCGACGAGTATTTCCGGACGGAGGGAGTACAACTTAGTACTCCTTCCGATTCATATTAATTGTCGCTGACAGCAAGTTTTTTTCTTAGACAAAACAACGCACTCACACTGCAAAGCTACTGCTGTATGCACTGATTAACCGTCAACAATGAACCTGTGTATTTTGAGATGATACTCCCTCCAATCCATACTAATTGTGGCCTGTCAACTCGGGAAGCGAACCCCAACATTTGACGACATACCCTTGCTGATTTTGTCTCTAATCAACAGCATCTCCGTCCACGTCCACCCACTTGGAAGCCTGCGCTTGCATTTCTCACACCCTGGATTCTTATACAGGTTTACAGCCACCAGGTTCACCGCTGCCTCCATGATGTTTCTGGCATACCTCACAAATTTGTCTTCTGCCCGAAACCCATAGATACAGAGCTCAGCCAGGCTGTGGTGATTGAAATCTAGGGCAGATGGTTCCCACTCCAGTCCTTTGTCCTTCTCCTCGCTAAACTCATGCATGTACCTCCGCTTCCCCTTTGTCATTTCACATAAATGATCCCGCACCTGCATTCAATCAGGTCAAAAACTCCTAACTGGTCATGGAAAGTTTGAACTTTGAAAAAGAGAATTCGATTTGCATATTCAACATGTGGTGGAATAAAAAAATGAGAGATGAAGAACCGGTACAAGAGTTTATTTACCGTAATGCATAGTTCCTTAAGGGTGGGTGCGCCTTGGAGTATGAACATCGTCCAATTCAGATCGTATTCTTCGGAAATGTTGAACAAATTCACAAAACTTAGTTTGCGGAACACCGGTAACAATTGCTTCCGGCCTTCTGGTTTGACCCAAATCTGCAAAACAGGGGGATAATGCAGAATTATGTTAGCCAAAAATAATGACTACAACATCTCCATGACACACATCATTCTGATAACATTAGTTGCAGACCTTCACTAACCTTTTCACATCTGAAGTTCAAATGCAGGTTGCTTATGGCTGTTTTACCAAGCAACTCACTTAGCTTGAGCATCTTGTGCCAAGAAAGACCAACATTAGTGATGCTCACAGTCTGGAGCTGTGGGACATAGCCCAAACAGAAAGGGTCATCTCGAGATATAAACCCATTAAATTTCAGTACTGTGAGCTTTGGTACCCACTTGAGATCAACCCTCTCAAGACTGCTATCCAAAATCACTAGTTCACGGAGTTGCAGGTGTATCCACTTCCAGCAAAGACAGATCCCCCGTGTCACACCGCTAGAGGCGCAAGAACTCTAGTTGCTTGCATATACTGAAAATTTTGGGGAAGTCTGATTCGCCTAACCTCAAATTCTCTAGCCAGAGGCGTGCAAGACCACCAAATGCGTTTGGACATGAATCAAAGAATACCATGAACCGCTTCCCATAACTGAGCAGGTCATCAACGTAACAATTGGTACGCACTTCGGTTAAGATTACGAACTCAACCGAAGCAACTTTTTGTGTTGCTATGGTGTTGGCAACAGTCTGGCCAATGAAGATGGAGTCATCTCCCAGATAGAATTGCATGGACATTAGGTGAATGGTGTATAGCCTTCTGGTCCTGCTTTCCAGTATGCTCCTGGTTGCTTCTAGCACGGTGGTGTTGGCCCGAGCTATATCATGTGAGGTTAATTTTGTCCCTCTTCCGTGCTTGGGCTCAAAAGAACCGACCGTTATGATAATTTTTGAGAGCATGGCAGGGATCTGCTTCCAGCGCCTGGATAGGATGGTGGTTCTTGCGACGTCGGTGATATCAAGTCGCTCGACAATGTTGAGCAAAATGTCATCAGGCAACTTGCTGAACCTATCAACTTCATTGTCCTACATTTTTATATGGAAACAAATCAGAGTCGATTACTTATTGAGACAGGTGCAATTTCAATATTTTCCACAGACAAAAATCAAAATATATACTTTCCCACAGAAAGACGCAATTTTGATTATAGAACTTTCATACTTTCCCACATAAACACGCAATTTTGATAGTACAGTTCTTCATAATTACCCACAAAAGGATGTAGTTACCCGCAGTGTAGAGACTGACGCAATTTTGACATTTCGCCACCAGAAAGGTTAAATTTTGACCATGAATTCTGATTATGGTTCCTACAGTACTTTTTATTATTCCTTGATTTTTTTTTTCCTGCGGTGAAGTTGTAAGAGGATCTACAACAAGGGGAAAAGGAACAGGAGGACGAACTCACCGTCATGTTCGAGGGAGGATTTGCTGAGGCCGATCTCGTCTCCTCTTAAAATTGGCGAGTACCGTGGTGTCCGCCAGGCCAGATTTATGTATAATAGCTGCTAGGTTCCCGCCACCAACGGAAACCCGGAGACTGAATTCGAAAGAGGTCCTGTTTCTGATTGTAATCCGGAAAGGATTGCCGACTGCAGCTTGATTGCTTCGATTGGGGACTGCAGCTCCCAAAGGAGGAGCTGCTTATTTGGTCGCCTCTGCTCAAGCACCGCTGGATCCTCATTGATGCATCCGACGGCGACGGCGACGGCGAGAGGGGGAAGATCGGCGCACGGCAGGCGGCGGCTCATAACTGACTCCCGATCCCCTCGGGTAAATAGCTCCCATGCGACGTCGTTGGTGTGAATTGTCTCTCATGCGACGTAGTTGGTTGTAATCGCTCTCATGCGACATCTTCGTTGGAAAAAATAGCTCCCATGCGACACTGCTGCCTAATCCAAAGACACATGTTTAAAACTCGAATCAGGTGAGCGGGACACACAGCATGGGACCCACTAACTTATCCAACTCAGCATTGGTCAGGTGAGCGGGACCCACAGCATGGGACCCACTAACTTATCCAGGTCAGCATTGGTACAAGAGGACACCGAGCCGTGCCCCGAGTCGTGCAGCACCCGAGCCCATCCTCCCCCCTCCCCCTCCCCGACCGTTGTTGTTCTTTTTCTCCGGCGACGACGCGCAGCAACGCCGTTCCGGGCCGCGACCTAGCAATGTCGAGCTCCGCTTCAGCCTCCCGCCGCTCATGGCCGCGCTATGGCGCAGTGCCCATGACAAGATGCCATGCATGCCCACGTATCGCACCCCTGAAGCGGCTAGTCACAACGACCGACAAGAATGGCAACCTTGGGCGGGAATTCGTGAAATGCGAGAGCAAACCAGAGCAGGGAAAGGTGAGATTTTACTTCTCAATATGCCAATTTTGGTTTTTGTCTCCCAATTTCATATTTGCCCATTTTTCCCCATCGGATTTGGGATTTAGGGTTCATCTTTCCGATTTCAGAAATTGAAGCAATGCACCCATTTTGAGTGGCTAGATGAGTACATAGAGCGGATTCAACTGGAGGGTGCATCAGGGGAGCTCGATTTACTGTTGGAGGCGGAGAAGTTGGGCAAGTTTGGATCGGGCGCATCTGGATCCGGGGCCCCTGGATCTGGCAATTCCATCGGGGGCGGCCGCCCTTCCATTGGTGCTACTGTGGGGGATGCAGGAGTGACGGTAGAGCTGAAGAAGCTGAACAAGCAGATGAAGAAACTCATCAAATTGCAGAAGCAGGGCAATTTGATGGGGCTCATGGCCGCACTTTTTTATGTTTGTGTAATTGGTCTCGCATTTGTTTATGTGATGATAATTAGTCGTAAGTGAATAGATTGGGCATCATTTGTAATCGGGATCATATGTACATTTGAATAAAAGTGTTGCGCTGTATGAATTCAGCATGTCCTCTCCACTCTGTTTCGGCCCCGTTTTTTATTTCTTCAGTTCGTCATCAGTTTCAGTTTCAGTGGTAGAGGGAGAAAAGGAAAAAAAGGTTCGTCCACAGTTGCCCGAAAAGGCCATGCCCATATAGAAGTTAGGCAGGGCCGAATAGAACATATCCAGGCCCATTGATAAAAGGAGTGCAAAAAAAGTGCACACGGTCATTGACATCGATATATCTTTTCGGCTTTAGATCATTTCACAAATTTTAAGTTTCCTGCAGTCACCTTTTTTGAGATAACTCATCTGAAAATTATTTGAGATATTTTTATGCATAAGCTATTTGAGATAATTATTTGAGCAGTCTTTGTGAACCAAAAAAGTTGCAATTGTTTGGTTCTAGTTTATTTCAACCAAGCACCATTTCTTAATATATTTTTTTACTTGTGCTATGGTGTTTTCAAAGTTTTTACTCGTGTGTTTCAACCGAAAAAGGTTGTGCCCAAAAAAGAAGACATCTAGTGTGCCCCTAGTAGCATCTCCTTACAACATAGAGGGGCATCCCCTTACAACCAGGGGCGGATCCATACTTGGTCATGGGTGTACACCCAAATCTTTTGGCTAGACATTTTTATATATGGTGTATACTTTAATACATTCAGTGCCCAAATGACCTTTCTCGCTAATGCCATGTTTGGCAGCAAAAAATGACATAGCAAGCATGATTTAAACATCAAACAACACTTGCGCATGTCATCAGCACCAGATAATTAGCATTTTTCTTGCCCATTGTCTTCAAATGCATTGTATACCAACTGTATGATTATGTAGTACAGTACATAATCTTTATTGTCAATTTCTTGGTAACGTACATTTTAGATACCAGATCAATTGTTTTTTAGTACACATGGCCACATAAATAAAATGCAATGGAGAAACTTTAGGACCGAAAAAACATATAGATAGATAGTGGGGCATCGGGTACCCTAGTAGCATAGATAGATAAAACATATAGAGGGGCATCCCCCCACTACATATAGTTCATAAAACATGAAAGTAAAATAATTAAAACTAGATATATAAAAGACACGGGCACACACGCCCGAACCAACACAAACACAAACTAGAGCCCCAAACTAGATAGATAGAAGACCCGCCCCTTGAACAACTCCTTGGCCCCTCCTCCTTGCCACTCCTTGGCCCCTCCTCCTTGGGCCCCTCACTCGTCATCCTCCGGCATCTGGTAGGGGAGGGTGTGCATGCCGTTGGGGTGAGGGAAGATGTGGTGGAAGTTGGTGAAGATGTTGTAGGTCGTGAACGCGATAAACTCGCATCCACACCAGAACACCTGGCCGAGGAGGTGGTGAGCGTCGTAGGGGTTGGTGAAGGTGACGTGGAGGCCGATGACGAGGCCGTTGGCGTTGCCATCGTACTGCTCGTGGAGGTGGAACATGGGCGGAGTGCCCGGAGGGAGGTGGCGGTAGCCGGCTTGGAGGAAGAAGCGAGCGAACTCTCTAGGGCCCCTCCACCTAGAGATGGCCCACACCCTCAGGCTATTCTCGACGACGACTCCGGCCGGGTACTGCCTCTCCGGCACGGTGGGAGGGCGACGGTAGGTAGGGCCGTTGAACTGCATGGTGGCTCGAGTGGGATTTGGCTCGAAAAGAAGAAGGGGAGGAGGCTTGAGAGATGAGTGTGAGAGGATGAGGAAATGGTGCCCTTTTATAGCCGCGTTGCAGCTGTGGTCAATGTGTACACGGTGCCTTCTGGATCGTTTTCTCTTCTCCGTTCGCACTGGCATAAGTAATTGCGGGCATTAATTCAAAAAACGGCGGCCAGAGCATCCAAAGAGGCACGGGCAGCGCAGGCTCGTTCATCCGCGCGTGACACTGAAAAAGGAGCTGCACCACCGACGCGTCCGTCTCGTTCAAACATGCATTTGTTAAAATAGCTTAGATGCGACGTACCTATACGCTGCGCCTCTGCCGTGCTTTACTGCGTCGATGCGTGCATGCAATGGCGGGCTAGGTGTTCACGAGCAAAGAATAGCTAGGCTGCGACGTTGCATGGCATGCATGGGACAGGGATGGCCCACATGTCATTGACCCTCTCGCATGCAGCCCATCCCCCTCTCGACGGCCGTGCGCACGCACGCCAGGCTCTGCCGGGCCCGATCTGCTCGGCCCAACGGTCACTTAGATGATCCCCCGCTCAACGTTATCTGTTTGTCAGAGAGAAAAAACGGTGGCCAATCAGATTGGAGCCCACGGATCGCCCCCACGGAATCCTTCTAGAAGGCCTATCCGACGGCCGCAGTTTGGCGTTAGGGTTAGATCAACGGTGGACGTTTGGCGCTAGGGTTACATGGGGTTTGGAGGCAGTCAATGGGGTTTTGAAAGGTTTGACCGAACATTCAAATGTGTATAACTAATTCAAAAAAATCTAAAAAATGAAAAACCTGCGCATATAGCCTTTTTATGTTACATAGTTATGATATAAAATGATAAACTTGATCTAATGATCTTTGCTTGAAAAAACCTTCACAAATTGGACTATCTCGACTGAGGTTGCATGGAGTTCACAGGAGTGAGAAGAGGGTTTGAGGTTTTGAAAATGCAAAAAAATCAAAAACATCACCTTAACTTCATTTTAGAGTGACTAAGGAGGATCTGAAGTTATTTTTGCATTTAAAATTTTTAAACTTGTTTTATTGCTAACTTTGTATTAAAGGGTGTTTTTTCAAAAATAAATTAAATAATATGAATACTTATTCAAAAAAAGGTGAGACTTCGTATTGATCCTATATAGGTATAATATAAGCTAAGAAAATCTTTTTTGGGTGATTTTGAGAAGGTCGAAAAAAACTTGCTTAGAAATGGGGTCGTTTTCCCTTACTTTGGAGCCTGTTTGGTCAACATTGTCCGTGACTATGAGTTGGAGTTCACAAAAAGGGTTGGATTTATGAACTAAAGTGCATAGTAGTACATAAAACGATGCAACATCACAGAACAAACAAATGAACTCAAAAAATATTGAAGATAGGTTCAAATTTGAATATCGGTTCAAATTTGAATTTTATTTCAAGTCAAATCAACATCATAGCACATAAGTTATCACATGAAAGAACATAAGTTTTCACATCAAATGACAACAAACTTAAGTTTTCACATCAAATTTGAATGTTTTCGACTCTATTTCTTCTGCTTCTTTCTACCACTCGATTTCTTCTGCTTTTTTCCACCGTTTGGTTCCACGGCGCATAGTTTGTTGATGCTGATGCTCTTGCTTTTTGGCCCCCTCAACTTTTGCACCTGACCATGTCTCACTTCTTCAGTTTGCACTTCTGCAGATTGAGTAGATGGCACACATTGTTCAACTACTTCAGTTTGCAACTCAACACTTGGCAGCACAACCTCCAAACATGGCAACACAGTTGTCAAAGCAGATTCGAATGGTAGCACAACAGTTGCTTCATCTGCAACAGTTTCAGATTGCCCTAGCGTCTGCAAAACAGATTCAGTATGCATCACATCATC